TCAATACATATTCGGACTTCGCCAGACTTTTTCGGGACGACCACAATGGGACTGATCCATGGTGTTGGTCCATCAACCTTTTCGATGATATCTAACTCTTCAAGCCGTTTGAGCTCTTTCTCGACATCAGATCGAACGTGGAATGGGATTCGACGGTGGGGTTGTTGTTTGGGGGAAACATCAGGATCAGTGTGCAGTTTAACAGTTTTACCAGTTAGCTTTCCAATGCCAGAGAAGAGGCATTCGAACTCTGGGGGATACTGATTAGTGGATGGTATGTGATGGGTAGTGCTGTTGATCGTAACTTTGAGCAAGTTGAGTTGGCAGGCGGTGGTGTAGCTTAGCAGATTTCCAGAGTTCCCGTGAACTACATGGAATTGGGCAGAAAGGTGCTTAGAATCAGTGGAAATGTTGGTTTTGATAACTCCTTTTAGTGGTAGTGAACGTAGTGATCCATAGGAATAAATTTTGTGGTTTGTTTGTTCAAGACTGATTCCTTTGTTGCGGGTAATTTTGTTAAAGGTGGCGTCATCGAGGATATTGACAGAAGCGCCAGAGTCTATCATGACGGATACGCTGTGCCCTGCAATGTTTACGTGGCACTTTGGTGATGTGGGTGTTCCAGAGAGATTTGCGATTGTGAAAGCATAGTCTGGTTCGAAGTCGGAATCGGGTGGAGACTGGGGGCGGGTATGGGTGACGTTCTTTACATGCTGAGATGATGGGGGTTTGGTGCGGCAAATATGCCGGGTATGTCCCACCGCAGTTTCCACAGGTTTCTCTGGCACGAGATTGCTCAGCGCCTCTGAAATTACGTAATCGTTGGTTCTCAAAACGCGATCTTGGGGGGCCTGTGGCTTCCGTATTTGGCTGTTGTATATTTCCGTGACGAACTGAATTTACGCTTGAGAATTCTTGTTGCTCGACTTGGCTGGCTTGTTTTTCGCTTAGTTCGATGGCTCTGCCGGTCTTCATCAGGTTCGGTAGATCAAGATTGTCACGAAGGGCTCGTCGGCGTAAAGAGTTGGACGTACAGGTCAAAATAATATGGTCTTTGATCTCTTTAGCTGGGTCGCTAAATTCGCACGTTTGAGAAAGATGGCGTAATCGAGTATGATAAGAATCAAGAGACTCGTCGGGTTTCTGTTTCGCTTGGCGGGAGTTAAAAACTTCGAAAGCCACATTAGTTTGAGGTGAGAAGTACTGGTTGAGCTTTTCCACTACGGTTTTGTAGTCTTCGTTGCTGCTAGTCGGCAGAGTATCGTAGATATCATCGACATCAGGGCCAGCGTAGTGCAAGAGCAAAGCTGTTTTTCTTTTATCAGCTGTGATGTTAAGTCCGCCAAGGAGCCGTTCGAATCTCGTGAGCCACTTTTTCCATCTTGGGCCAGCATTAGAGTCCTCGTGTACATTAAACGGTGGAAAATCTGGGAGCGAAGCCATGGTTGAGGTGAGTTATAAATACTAGAATTCTGCGATATATATTACTTGTCTTGTCTGATCACGGTACGTTGTCTATACTCTTGACAGTGTGTTGTTTTGGGTATACTTCGGCTGGTTCACTTCTTGTATGCTTGTGTGATCGTTGCGGGTTTCGATCGTGTTTCCTCGTCGCCAGATGTAATGTTGTAGTTAAACACTTTTATTGATAACCTCTCGTATATATGCACATGCAAAACTAACTAATAAAACTATATCTATTGGCGCCAAGAAGTCTTAGTCTCAGACCCCGCACGCGGTCCACCTGCGCGCCAAGGCAACAAAACAACAATAAGCTTATTAACTATATTATAATTGCGTCGTTCCTTAAGAACGACGCAACAACATATTATATTGATATATGCATGGCGTGCTTTCTTTGGAACGAAGCAACATATATAATATATTGATATATTGCGTCGTTCCTTAAGAACAAGCCAACGACATATTAAATTGATATATGGCATGGTTTCTTATAGGAACAAAGCAACATAATATAGTGATATGTTACGTCGTTCCTTAAGAACGAAGCAACAACATATTATATTGAATATATTGCGTGCTTTCTTTGGAACAAAGCAACATAATATATTGATATATTGCGTCGTTCCTTAAGAACGAAGCAACAACATATTATATTGATATATTGCGTGCTTTCTTAGGAAGAAAGCCACATAATATATTGATATATTGCGTCGTTCCTTAAGAACCGAAGCAACAACATATTATATTGATATATTGCGTGCTTTCTTAGGAAGAAAGCAACATAATATATTGATATATTGCGTCGTTCCTTAAGAACGAAGCAACAACATATTAGGCCTATATTGATATATGGCGTGCTTTCTTTGGAACGAAGCAACATAATAATAATATATTGATATATTGCGTCGTTCCTTAAGAAAGAGGCAAGGGCATATTAAATTGATATATGGCGTGGTTTCTTAGGAACAAAGCAACACTGATAATATATTGATATATTACGTCGTTCCTTAAGAACGAAGCAACAACTTAGGACTATTATATTGATATATTGCGTGCTTTCTTAGGAACAAAGCAACATAATAGCTATATTGATATATTGCGTCGTTAGCAACATAATGTATTGATAATACAAGGAAGCATTGAGAAGTAGCTATATATTCAATTGATGGACATTCCTTGGTCGTCAAATGTCCAATGGACATTTCATATGTCCATTGGACATTTCAAATGTCCATTGGATCCAATGGACCATTGGACATTATACTCATTCAGTTTATCCACGATGCCCTTTCCCGGTGGTTACAAAGTCCGGTTTAGTCCATTGGATCCAATTGATCGACACTCGAATATCCAATGGACATTCGATATGTCCATTGGACATGCATGTGTCCAATCTCCAATGGATATGCACATGTCCAATAGACATTTGAGCTGTCCATTGGATCCAATGGACAGTCATATGTCCAATGGACATTTCATATGTCCATTGGACATTTGCGTTAGTATTGGACATGTATGCATAGCTACAACAAAATTGCGAGAAAGTGGCAAGACAAGTTGCATAGTGTAACAGCGCCTTTATGAGAGATGGGGCAAGCCAGCCCGGGTACATAAACTGACCTGGTTTGGGTGAAATCTTGCTTTTATTATTATGCCTTATTAAATTTCATTTGACGTTAAATATGGGAACCGAGCTGGCTAGCCTAAGCGAGATCCCGCCTCGACTGACCCGAGATCTAGGGTGCCCAGGCCGGGGAATTTTCCGTACAAACGCAATGACCCGGGCTGGCTCGGCCGCTTCTAGTGTCTAATAAAATAAAAGGGGCCAATTAACGATAGGCAACTTGCGTTAAGAGGTCACGTAACCTTAATCCTTTTAAAATAGTAGGTATGGAACTACAAATTTACAATGAACTTGCAGAGTGATGTTGTAGGAAAAATTCGTATTTTTTGTGTTAAAAACCTCAAAAATATTTTACACATTTAGGGTAGAGCGCTTGGTAGAGGGGGAACGCTTTATCGAGGGTCATTTGATGGAGGTTAATATATTTCATTTTACGTATGCTGAATCTTGTTTTAACTTTATTTTGTCAAGATAAGGACGAGGCTATACGTCATTTGGAAGCTCTCGAAAAAGGTAAAACAAAAAATAATGGAATTCCCATTATGCTGATCGGGCAAGGCCGAGGCGGAAAGTGTTTGCTGATGAGACGTCTTTTAGGGTTACTATTAATTCCCTCCGCCATGCCCATGCCTGTGCCATTATAGCGACAAGTGAACAACAGGATAAAAGAAAGGGAATAAATAAGAATTCACACAGCTGCATTAAACATCCTACGAGGAGAAAGACGACGTCTCTATTGGTTCTTCTTTATATATGTTATGCTCAATATTTGCTGATATAATTATATATAAGTCCAGCATTATTACCGTTGTCGTGCTGAGGACACTCGACCATATTTTAAAATTATGGTTGATGCCTTTTCCCGATGATTCAATACATTTCTTGATTTTAAAATATGCGAGTCCGGCATTGATGTTTTCCGTAAAAATCCGATCAGCATTCGAAAAATGTTTACGTTTTAGCTTCTTTATGAGTGATTTTCTTCTAGCAAAAGGAAAGCCTTTCCAGGGCGTGCAGGAGTAATTTTCGAAATCTACTTCTTGAATAAAATGGTGTCGGTGCATATTTTTGGAGGTCCGATGGAAAAGTACTTTAATCTGTATGCACTGGGCCTGTATATGTGGCTTGTACAAAACAACCTGATGATGTCATCTACCCAAAATTTAGTTCAGGCTAATAAAAAAAAATAAAAGGAGCCAATTAACAACAGGCTATACTTGCACTAAAAGGTCCCGTGACTTTAATCCTTTTGAAATAATAGTTATGGAACCACAAATCTACAATGAACATACAAAGTGATGGTTTAAGCAAAATTCTTACACGTTTAGGGCAGGGCGTTTGGTAGAGACGGAGAACGCTTTATAGAGGACCATTTTATGGAGATTATATTTCATTTTATACAAGCCCTAGCTATATATAGCTGAAAGCCATTTTTTACAGTAATTTTGAATATTGAATATTCAATATTGATATGAATATTGATATTCATATCAAATTTTTTCTACAGTAAAATACATATTTAACGTTGTGTTAGGGTTTGATTGGCTTTGGTTAAATTTGCTCGCAGCTCGCATCAGATTATAGGTCCTCTCGCAGCTCGCAACTGATCAATCCAGATCACTCGCAGCTACGCCTAGGAATTTGATGCAAGTTTTCCAACCTGGGAAGTAAACAATTAAGCATGTTGCCCAATGAGACTTAAGCTGTTGTTTTTTGCTTTGTTTCTGCTTTTACCCTGTTAAGAATGGACAATCAGTAGACGTCGAATAAAGGTCTTTCAATTTTATGTGAATTAAGCTAACTAAAGTCAAGTGTATAACTAAAATTTTTGGATGTTGCATCATGTGTCGAAGGCCAATTTACACTACACAACTTTTACCCAAAGCCTGGTTTCCTTAGGGTCGTAACGGTCGTAAAGATTAATCCTCCTAAAATAGTAGGTAATAATTCAAATTTTTTGTTTTAAAAAGTTCAAAAAAATATTCTTACACGTTTAGGGCAGGGCGTTTGGTAGAGGGGGGGGGGACACTTTATAGAGGGTCATTTGATGGATGCTATATTTCATTTTACGTAGTACTGAATTTTGTGTTAACTTTATTTTGTCAAGAGCTTGAAGAGCAAAGACGTCGAGAGAAAGCTCGCTTAAAAGGTAAAGCAAAAAATAATCTAATTCCGATTATGCTGATCGGGCAAGGCTGAGGTGGAAAGATTCGCTGATGAGACGTCTTTTAGGATTACCAATCCCTCCGCCATGCCCATGCCCGTGGCATTATATCGACAAACGAACAACAGGATAAAAGAAAGAGAATAAATATGAATTCACACAACTGCATTAAACATCCTACGAGGAGAAAGACGGTGTCTCTATTGGTTGTTCTTTAATATATTTCAGACCCAATATTGAGGTTCCTGACGGGGGGGGGGTCCCAATCCCATTTCCCACCGAAATTTTGGCAAAATCCCAGTCCCAGTTGGATTTTTATTAGAAATCCCAGTCCGAGTTATTGAAATCCTAATGAATAAAAAACCCTTTATTAATTGGTAGAATAAACAGTTTTAAGACCTTTTAAGCCACCGTGTGTGCAAGTGGCGGACATTTTATGAAATATTAGGGGCTCGTGCCGAAGGCACGGAAATTTTTAAATTTGAATCCCGGAAATGGCATTTGCAGCATTCTGAGACACGCATAATAAAAAAAAACAGAATTCCGGGCGCTAAAGTAGGCCTGTTCGCAGGTAGTGCTGTGAATAATATAGTTAACAACAAAAATCATGACCAAAAACACCAAAAACGGATCAAAATTGTATTTTAAAATACTTAAAACGTGGAAAAATTGGGAATCGACTCGCATTACCTCAATCCCATTCCTATTTTTGAGAACTTCATTTCCCATTCCCAGTGGCGAAATCCCAGTCCCAGCAACTCAAATCCCATTTTCCCAGTCTAAAAATAGATCAATCCCAGTTCCCATTTTACCCCTTCAGGACCCTCAATATTAGCTGATGTATACAGGATATTACACGGCGGCGCGAAGATATGACTTTTATCTTCGAGTGGTGAAAGCAATATAACACGAGAAGATAACAGTCATATCTTCAAGCCACGGTGTAATGTTCTGTTTATTATATAGTCCCAAGCAAAAAAATTTAAAATTTCACGCTCAAAAGCATTTTGGAAAAAGTCACGTGATCGATATCTTCACTAGGGAAGATATGCAAAATATCTCACTGTGTATTTTTCAGTATCTCACTCTCTACTATATAATAAGATTATATATAAGCCCGGCATTTAATTCTACCGTCGTCATGCCGAGGACATTCGACTATATTTTAAATGTACGGTTAATACTTTTCCC